GTGTGTGTGTGTGTGTGTGTGTGTGTTTGTCACACCTGAAGGTCTTGGCTTTGCCGGCAGACTTGCTGCTGCAGGTTTGTTGGTTGCTGCCGAGGACGCTCTGCATGATGGACAGGTTCTTCTTCCTCTCCTCCTCCAGAGCCTCGTCATCCTCTGTCATCTTTGTCTCTGAATCATTCAACAGTCATTTATGTAAATATATAGTTTAATAGATGCTGACAGGTTTAACATTAGTGGAAGGAGTTATAAACAATAACACAAAGGCAACAGATAACTGGACTAAGATGTCATATACAGAAACCCTCACCTGACTCTTCGTCTTTGCCCTCATCTTCCTCCAGGAAGCGAGAATCCATCCGAAATCGCTCGTCTGCCCCGAAGTGAGACTGAAGCTGCATCAGCTGGACACACACAAAAAACAAGCGACCAACTGACATCAGAATCACACTCATCACAATATCTTATCATAATGTTTGGATCGCTTTTTAAGGCTGGATAAGATGTTCATTGTCCCCAGAGGATGAATCTCGTTATTGTGAATTTTTCTTTTCTCTTTATTTACACATCTTATTCATTCAGTTCTAAAAAATGTGAGACCACTGTCTGTTCTCCTGTGAAGGACACCGAGGATATAAAATGATACAAGAATAAGAAGAGAGCTGGTAAGAGGGAACACACAGTGCAGCATCATGTGACCTAGTCTTCTCACCTTCTGACCAGCTCGACCTTCAAACTGAGGCCTGATGTCAAACCTGCTGCCATCCTCCTCTTCATCGCCACCGTCCTCATCATCACTGCCGCCAAACAGCCGAGGGCCTGACCCCTTCAGACGCACCTAAACACACACACACACACACACACACACACACACACACACATTTCAGACTAAATGTTTGTATTAGGTGAAACATAAATAAAAACGGTCACAGGTCGATTTGAACTAAACATCTGATCTGTTTCTCTCACCTTCTCTTTCGTTGTGTTCTTCTCATTGGCTGTTGCCTCGTCACCTGTGGTCTCGTCCTCTGATTCGGATTGGCTGTCCTCGAACAGGGTCTTCTTCTTTGACATTGTGACATCTGAGGGTTTCTGCTGCTCATCTTCATCCCCATCCTCCTCTTCATCATCAGAGCCAAAAACAATGTGTTTCCCTGCTCCTGGTTTTGGAGTATCCTGACGGAGAATAATATTGCGTGTTATCAATGTTAAATATGTGAAAATATAAAATTGATTCCAAACAATTCTTCTATATCAATGGAAAGCTTGTTTTCCTCTGCCCCCAACTGGACAAAGATATTGCTGCAAAGATATCTGTTTCCGAGGTCAATCATTTTCTTACTTTAATGAACCAGTTCATAATTTCTTTAATTTCTCATTATCAAATATAGTCAAAGACAAACAACATTTAGAACGTCTACATTTATTTCCTTCATTCTAGTAACATCACACTCACCAGGTTGGACAGAGCTCCCTGTATGAGCTTCTTGTTTTCTTCGGCCTCTTTCATTCTCTGCTGGATGGCAGCGAGTCTCCTCACGTTGGCCTTCCTCTGCTGCTCCTCTTCCTCCTTGGCTCCTAACTTCACCCGGGAAGAAACCTGCACTTCCTCTTCCTCCTCATCGCCGGAGGAGGACGACGACGACGACGACGATGACTCGCTGTGAGGAGCAGGGGCAGTAGCTGTTTTCCCAACATCTTCAGCAGAGACAATCTCTTGTTTGTCCTCGTCTTCCTCAGAAGAGGAGCTGGAGGATGAAGGTATAGTCTTTGCTGTAGCTTTGGCTGACGGAACAGTCTGACTGACCTTCATCCTCTGCTCCTCTTCCTCCTCATCATCATCATTACTGCTGCTGGAGGAGGAGGTACTTGTCTCAGGTTTCTCAGTATGTACAGCAGATTTATTTGAAACTTTTGTAGGAGCCTTGTCCTTCACAACCTCCTCCTCCTCCTCCTCCTCTTCCTCCCCCTCCTCCTCCTCCTCCTCCTCACTGCTCTCTGTCTTCTTCGTTTCTTTGTGTGTTTCTTTCCTCAAACTTTTCCTGGTTTTGTTTTCAGCTGTTTTCTCGTCCACTTCTGAGTGCAGCTTGTGCTTTTTGACCACACTTCCTGTTCTCTCCTGCTGCTCCTCTCTCTGTCTCTTCTGGCAGTCACTTGTTTCTAATCCATCGTACAATCTTTTTGTTCCCTGGAAGGCGGGCAGCATTCCTTTCTTCTTCTTCTTGTCGTCATCGCTGCAGTAGCCCCGCATGATGGAGGCGAGGATGTCTTCTGGCATGGTGCCTTTCTTGGGTGCGGGTTGTTCTGCGACACCAGATACAAGGTTAGTTTCTTTTTCGGTGCTGCAGCTAGAGACGCTGGGAGCTGTAGTCTCAGAGGTCTGCTTGGCTTCTTCAGCTAGCCTCTGTAGGTCAGCCATGGAGATCTCCAGATGGGTGACGTTAGAAAACATGGCTTCATAATCTTCATCATCATCTTCATCATCCTCATCATCATCCTCCTCCTCCTCATCATCACCATCAGACTCTGAGAAAGAGGACTTCACAACAGGGAGATCTAGCAACTTCTTACTCTGGTTGCTTCTTTGTTTCTGAGAAGTGGCAGAAGTGATGTGATCTTCAGCATCTGCTGAATCCTCCTCCTCCTCCTCCTCTTCCTCTTCTGCTGCAGCTTGACTTTTCTTCTTCGCCTTTTTCTTCTTATCCGTGTTGTTCCCTGAGGGGTTTTCTGCAGTGGGCAGGGTCTGTTGCTCCTGTGATGGAGCAGGATCAGGGGGAAGAGGAGCAGGAGGAGGTTTCCTGGATGCAAAGAGTTCATCTGTGTCAGCAGAATCATAGTCGTCTTCGTCATCTGGCCTACCTGGAATCAGAGAGAAAAACTCAGAACACAAACAAGTTTGTTTTCCTATTCCATTGTTACTTTATTCATTAGATCATAGATTATTTTTCATAATTTCTCAGCTACATAATCTTCTACCTTTCCTCTGCTGACCGGAAAGTCCCGACTTCACCAGGTAGTCTAATCCGACCACTTCCAGGTTATCCTCCTCCACTTCCTGCCTCGGTGCACCATGGGAGGGGTTCTGAACTGCCACCAGCCTGCGGATTTCCTCGTCCGAATCCACATCGCCACCGGTGAAAGGTAGCAACTTCCTCTGAGCTGGTCTGTAGTTAGTGGGGAGTTGAAACCCGTTGGTGAAAGGTTGAGGCTCTGTGAGTTTGACGGAGAGAACAGTCGGCTCTGATCTGAGAGGAGACAACAGGACGGAGAGAGTCGATGTGAGCAGAGTGACTCATCAGAATGAATCAAGTGACACATAAAAGTCCTAAAACTAAATACCAAACCAGTTGAACTTGTATGTCAGACACTGAGTAGAAGAACACATAGTTACCTGGTTGGGCCCACTGCATTATGGGAGTTGGTCACGTTTTTCCGACTCTTTTTGGGTTTTGGTGGCACATATGGAGGGAACTCGCCCCGCCTCTTTTTGCTGATGTCATCGTCCCCTCCCTGTACCTCCCAGGTGAGCTGGGTGACGGGGGTGTGCTGGTCAGTGGCGGCTCGGTCCAGCCTGCGGATGTTGTGGCTGTATTTGGACGGGTCGTACTTCAGGGTTCGAGCTTTGCTGCCCTTCTGACACCTGAGCTGCAGGATGGGGAGGACTCGTCCAAACTTACTCACCACCCAGTCCTGAAAGCAGAGCAGCCAGGGGACAGTCAACACCAGGGGACAGTTGAAATCAATTAAATTAATATTAAATGACTCGGGTACGATGGAGTGGTAGAGCGATATCAAAGAAAGAAATTATGAGACTTAAATCGTAATTTGTTTTAAAGGGTTTAACCTCACACAGACAGTAAAACAATGAAAGCAATGATCACTTCCATACAGAGTTCATGGGATACAACCAACAAACAGTGTTATAAAAGTTTTTGTGTATTTATTTATATTCCTTCTCAGCTACACTATGAACGTTCTGTCTTATTGAGTCTGTCTCTGGGGTTCTGATAGAAACAGGAAGCAGTTGATGACCTGACCTTGTGTCCCGGTACTTCTGTCCCTGGCACTGCAGCGTTCATGTGAAAGTTGTCCACACCGGCTTTGCTCAGGGAGTCGAGCAGCTTTTGTCTCTTGTCTTCAGCTGCAGGCGGCTGGAGGCGCTGCTCCATCGCCTCCTGCCGCTCCTGAGTCAGTCTACAACACACACACACACACACCAAATACTCAGCGCACATTGCAATCAGGAAGATTCTTTTATCATGGATCAGGATTATCTCGGTTTGATTTTTTCAGTAAACTGAATAAGTTTAGGTTTTGGACAAATCAAAACATTTGAAGATTTCTTGTTGGAGTCTGAGGAGCTGTGATCGACATTTAAAAAAAAAAAAGAAAGAAAGATAGCGAGAAACATCTGACTCTTTACAGCTAAATTTATAGATTCATCTATAAGTAATAATCAGCAGCTTAGTTGAATTCAGCTTCCTCTTGGTGAAGTCAACCTGACTTTACCTGTGCAGGAAACTCTCCTTGGCTGTTTCAATCTGCAGAGTTCCTCCTTTCCATTTGGATTTGTTCAGCACCGTCATACCTGAGGAGGAAACACAATGATGATGTGACCGGAGCTCTGGTGGTTCTTAACAGTACAATTCCACACTTACTTAAAATTTTCAAAGTTGTGGAATATTATACATGAGTTTATTTTGTTTCAAGATACTGATACTCAGGAGAAACAAGGGAAACTGATCTCTGAGGTGTGTTATCTCCTCAAACTGATGTAAATAAGACTCAGAGTCTCACAGAGTTCACTCACATTTCTTCAGGTCAGCTTCTGAAATGTTGATGTTAACGTAGCTGAAGGTCTTGTAAGGAACTCCTGCAGGAGAACAACATCAGTCAGGACACATGCAGCTGTTTGGTTATAATCAAACAATCAATGAGTTTTGAGATTTAAAATAAAAAAAACGACTTTGTGAATTTAATTTCATGCATCATAAAACTGCTGTTCAGGTTTAAAGAATAATATGCCATCCAACAAACAAATCTCCTGTTATACTGACTATAATAACTGGGATGAATTGTGCAGGTGTCTCAACTGAGTTTAGGATCTTATCATTTACAATATATGAACAGAATAAATAGCTGTGAACATCAGTGCCCAGTGAATTTCACACCATCATCGTCTCTCCTGGTCCGTAGCTCAACATCCTGCACGTCTCCAAACTTCCCAAATCGATCCTTCAGATCCTTCTGTGTGACTGTGTGGCTCAACCCACCGACGTACAGTCGCTGCATTGCTCCGTATCCACGACAACGCTGTGACTGCACAAGAGAAAACACAAGCATCAGCCACCAAACATCCCACATCCTGGCTTAACCATTTCCATTTGAATGCTTCTTAAACAGTGTGTGTTTAAGCAAATACTTAGGGGTACACAAACCTCAACTTCAAAAAACATGATACACGGTCTCTAATAAACTCAAATCGAGGCCTGATTGCATGTAGAAAAGTTTTGTTCCTGCTGTTTGCATGAAGCTGATTGATAAATATGAGATTAACCATTGAAGGCATTATGTTGAAAGCAAACTCTTCAGTCACTTTCAGTAGTTCAGCGTTTCTAATATTTATCTTAATGAAGGTTGAGTGAAAACTACAAATCCCTCTTTCCCTCTCAGCATAACACAAACCAGCTCAACCCCAGCTGCCTCCACAACAACCATGAAGCTGAATGAGGCAGAGCAGTCGACCTGCTGACTTCACCACGGAGACTCTACAGCCACACTCCCTGCGCCATGACACCTGTGACTAAAGCTGCTTCACGGAGGAGCTGACGGTGTCGTCACGGACCAACATCAACAAATATCATCGACAGACGAAGAGAAACAAATGTTTACCTCACATGTGTCCAGCTGGTGTTACCGTCAACTCCGTCCGGGGCGTTCCCGTCGACTTTCCCTTCCCCGTGCTTCTTCCCGCAGCACCGAAAGGTTCCGATGTGGTGTACAGTACAGTCAGAGTGAAATAAAATAAAACATCGTGAATTTAAATTTAATTAATTAATTAATAAAGTCTGGAGGAGTTAATATTGAGAGATGTAGATGTTAGCTTAGCCGTTCAAGCTAATAAACATCAACAAGAAACAAATAAGTTCCTCACGGTTCATCAAGTTGAAACCATAGAGGGGACTCTCATCATTTCCACGTCGTACGTTCATGTATTTATTGCGTCTTAAAAGCAATAAAGTAATAGATTTACACTTGAGATAAATATATATTTGACAACTTGCAGTAACTGTATCGACAATGAGGCGCGCAGTTAATTATCAAGCTTCGTTCAACGATTTGTTTCCCCCCCTCCGGTCCACGACAAGTGGTATCGTCCACAGGGCGCGAGGCTGCAAACTGTTGTGATTGTTCAGAGACGAAGAAGAAACTTCGAGTGTTTGTGTGAGTGAACCTCTTTATTTCCAGTCTGTGGATTCAGCGGAATGATTCACTCTGAGGGACACAGAAGACTTTGACTCCGGTAACTCGACGGTTTAACGGAGACGGACAGGTGAGCTTCATTCAAACTCACCGAAGGGAGGACAGCAAAGTGAGGTCAGCTCGCGAGAGACTGTCATTAACACTGATGTGACTCAGCTGATCCTTCACTGTCATGAACACTGATATTTAACCTGTTAGAGACATGACTCCACACAGCTGGACAACAATTACAAGGTCATTGTGTGTGTGTGATTGTATTTATGGAACTAGAAGCTGCTTTAACTAGAGACACAGCAAAAAGAACAACCAATGGAAATGTCTCCTAGACCTTTCTTAGTTCTAGTTTTGATTGTCATTGATATTTCATCACGTCAAAATAATCACCTCCTGCACATATAGTAGTATAGTTTTACCGTTTAATGGCAGCTGCTTTATTTTGCCTGTTTGCCATAGTGAATCAGTTTGTATTTGTTCCCTCAAGATGGAGGAGAAGATGTGCGAGGAGAACACGGAGGAGGTGAAAGTGCTGGAGGCTCAGATTGATCAACTCCGGGCTGAAGTGGCAGAATTGCAGCACCAACAGCAGATGAACCTCAAGGACATGACGTTCCACTTCAGGGGGCAAATGCAGGATGCACTGTTAGTTCCCATTTCTTTATTTTCCTTTCCAGTAGACGTCACACATTCCAGACTTCGGGCACCCTCAGACCTGTGAGGAGAGAAATGTAAGTAGATTTTCATTTGTCTCCACAGGTCGTATGTCTGCGGACAGAAACAGGTGGGTTCGGAGGAGGAGGTGGTGTCCAGGCTAAAGGAGGAGGTGGAGGAACTGGAGGAGGACCTTAAGCGGCAGACACAGATGAATGGCATCAGTCTGAACAGCTGCACCACAAAAACGCTGCAAAGCAGTAAGAGAGGAGCTCTGTCTGAATCCACAGCCTTCACTGTTTTCTGATAATACATAGATTAGAAGATCAGCGAAGGATCATAACCAGCAGATTAAGAAATCAAATTAATTCAGTTGAAGCCCTTATTCTACAAATGTACAGTATACGATTGTTGTCATCATTGGCAAACCTCAATTATTACCTCAATTATATACAGGGAACCTTTCATAGGGCCCCTTGTGATGTGATGACATAATTAAAATGGTGTGTGTGTGTGTCTGTCTATCAGGTAGCAGGAAGTTGGTCCAGCATCTCTCTGTATCAGGACACTGCTCTGAACTGGTCTTCCAGGTCGAGTTCCAGCTTTCTGAAGTCAGGGTGAGTTTTTTTTTTTAACTCCACCAAGGAGTTGATTTTCACCCCGTCCCTTTATTTGTATGTTTGTTTGTAAACTAGATTTTACAAAGCCAACTCAGTGGATCATCACCAAACTTAGCGAAGGGTTATGATATTTGCCCACGAAGAACCCATCAGACTTTTCCTTTTCTTTTACAGTGTGACATCGGGCAGTTGAAACATTTTCCCAGTGAATAATGGATCTCACGTGCGTTAAATTTGATGCAGCTTGATTGAATTTAAGTGTGACTGTTGGGCCTGGGCTGAGTTATGCACTCTGACATTCAGATGACTGTCCTTCAGTGTGGATGCTGTATTCAGCCAGCAGAGGGTGACACAGGTTCACCGATCAGGCATCTCCTGCACAGTTTAGAAACTCCAGGATCAGGTCATGTCACACTCAGACATCAGTCAGAGGAAATGTCAGGTATCAGTCATGTATCATGTCATTGATATCAGGTGAAGCAATAAAACGTCTTCAGGTGTAGATCATCTCTTCAAAATAAAGGTAGACTTTTAAGTGCTCTTTATATTTTCTGATCACCCTCGCTAAGTGAGAGTTCTGATCACAGAAATGTATAAATTAGATGGTTAGATAAGTTTTTCAATAACATTTTGTGGAGGGAAGGAGCATGAACCAAGGAAGAACTCATTCCGTTTGAAACAAGCGTCAAAATTATGATTTGTATCAGGAACTATTTTGATGAAAGAAAATGAAAAAGTTATATAAAAGTTTTTTGTATACTTTGTGCTTTGGACACTTTTTGTCTGCACAGATCCAGTTTTCAGCCGTTCGGTGTTTTAAAAACACATTTTGAACAAAATCAGATTTGACCCTTGACATGTGCCAGCACTGCAAATGTGAAGTCAACACTAATTGTAGTTTTATTGTAGGGAAATTCTGTATTATTGTCATCTGCGAACCTTCTTCGTGTAGGTCCAGCAGTCTTCTGGTTTTCATTCTCATTCGACTCCTTCCCACAACAGCTGGTTTCATTGAATCCCTCTTCTTCGTCTGGCTCATGAAGTGCCATTAAAATCATAGTTTTTCTTGTGAAGTTTCGACTTGTTTTGATCAAGACATTAATTATTTGGTGGTGTAATTTAGAAATCGAGTCATTTTGTAAACATACACTCTCGTCTCGCCTTTTATTACCGTCTGATTAATAGTTCAGTGTTGTAACCCATTCAAATCCAATCACATATATGATTTATGGCTACTCAAATACGGAATCGCTTTCGTCCTCACAAGGAGAAGAATGTTTGAAGGAATATGTTCTTGTTCCCTTTTCTGATGTGGAAAAAGATTTGGATCTCATGCCTGTGTGATGAAAATGAAGCTGGTGTTGGGATATGGTTAGTTAAAAATACACCCACCAGCACAATTATAATTTAACAAACAACTTCACGTCTTTGTTGACTTTAAACCACTAGAGATGGAAGGTTTAGATCCACTGATAGCATAATGCTGTCCACAGGTTTGAGAACACTGGGTAAGGGTTAAATATCAGTGATATCCTGGTCAGCACACTTGCTACAGTGACTTTCTGCCTTTTTCCTGTGGTAGAATAATAATGATGATGATGATGTGTTTGTTCTGCAGCAGGGTCAAAGATCTGAGAGGACCATCAGTGATCTGAACGTGGTGATGGATGCCAGTGACCTGTGCAGCCTCAGCAGCTTCCTGTCTGGGTAAGAATGAACACTTGATGCAAACCTCATCTGATCCTTAACCCTCCTGAGTTTTCTTGCCATGTGTATGTGGAATTCAACTTTTCTTCAACAGCAGCAAACCTTTTCAACGTGATGAACCTTCATGTGATGTAATCAGAGTTTTAAGTATTGTCAAGATAAAAAAATCCCCACCAGGTTCTAATCAACATGAATCAATCAAATTAATATCATGAATCCTCCTTAGCATCAAATCAACACCTCAAAGTCACATCGAACAAGATCAGTTAAGAGAAGACAATCCTTTAGTCCCACTACGGGGATATTTGATGTGAGAGAAATGAATACTTGCAGTCTGTCGATCGTTCATATTCATATTGTTGAAACGTGCTTTTACTTCACAAAAGTTGTGTAGCGACTGAAAAGACGGAGTTTGGAAGAGAAATCTCTGTCCAATCTCTGTGTCCAGTTTGTAATTTATTTACACTGTACACTGAGTCCAGCTCTGCATGTTTAATACTGGATATTACTCCTGTCAGGATGAAGCGTCCTGTTTAGTTTAACTTGTGTTTATCAAAGTAGAAAATCACGTCAAATGCCCGTCATCCAGCTGAATCCTCTCACTCACACATCGACTCGTTCTCGCTCTTTCTCTCTTCATCCCACCAACAACCAACACTTTCTCTCAGCAGAGCTCACAGGTGTAACTCATTACATTTGTGATGGCTGCGTTCCATTTAGGTGTGCTGGTTTACTGGCAAACAGAGCGTTGCCATCGCTGATATTAGTTACACCTGTTCCTCTCCTGCTGTGACTGTTCAAAATACCTGAGCTGCATCTGCTCTTCTGAGATTTCCTCTGCTGCATCTTGAGGATTAATCACTGTTACTTTCCTACCAGGTGCTTTTTACACTGCGCGGAAAAAAATGTTTGTAAAGTCAGAAGATGTTTAAATGTTACAGATGGTGTTTCAGCACAGAATCTCTGTTTCACGCTTTATTCTTAATTTCTAAAGAGGCCTAAAGGAAACTCTTGTGTATGTCTTTGCTTGTGATGCATAACAGTTTCTCTTCTGGTAAATGTCAGAACTCTTCATACCACAACCTGATTGTGGTAAATTATTCTCAAACGTCCAAATTCTCTTCTGGTGATCAACGCACAGCGAAGGAAATGAGCCTGCGTGAAATAGAATTCAATATGAAATGCAGCCTGACAGTTACTAGATTTTTGAGACTGATATTTAATTTATTGTTTAAAAGAAATCAGTATCTGGAATGGCAATCAAGCTGCGCCAAATTGCACACATATAAATGAATGAATGAATAAATAATCAATCAAATTTTATGTGTGTAGCCCATATTCACAAATCACCAAAAAACTAACAGGACGGACAGAAGTTTTTTTTTTTTTTTTTTTTTTTCCATCAAGATCCATGAATTATTCTCTGGGAAATGGTGAAAATGTCAAAAAGTGTCACCATCATTAAAAAAGTAATAAAAAAAAAAAAAACACCTGCATCCGCTCCATTGTCCGAATCTGCATAAAATTCGAATGGATTCTTTCTTGGTCCATGTCCCATCCTCCTGCTCAGTTTCATGGAATTCATTTGGTAGCTTTTGCATAATCCTGCTGACAAACAACAGACAGGAGTGGAATCATAGACTCCTTGGCTCAGATGATGAAACCCACGATTTCAACAAATTAGATCGCTTTAATTTGGCTCTTAAAGAATAGTGACAGACATTTGCAGATCATATAACTTAACTGCTCAGTTCTCTCTAGCACGCTTTATACTTCTCAATGACCTCCACCATATCGTTGACATTTCTGTATTCACGTATTATTGTCAGCTGACACAGATGTGTTAATATCAAACAAATATCAACTGCATTGCTATTATCATTATTAACACATAATATTTTTACCATGTGTAGGAGGAGGTAACATGTGGAGGGGATTTACATGTTGGAAGCTTCAACATCGTTTGATTTATAGTGTCTAAAAATATTCATAACTGCTGTTTAACATTTGGATGAAGGAAAATTCTGCATTTAGCTGAATGAATAAGAATTGCTAAATTTTCCCACCATGCTGTCGCCTCCCGTCGCAGCCATGACCCTTTGGTGACCTCCAGTGTTATTTTGCAGACACCAGGCGCATCGTCCTGGTTCTTGACTTCTATAAGATCCAAGTGAAGCTCTCAGTTGAAGGACATAGATGAAATGTGCTTATGTTTATGTGTTGAGTTTATGCACCCAGGTGCATTTTCTCCATTTATAAACACAGTATGTCAGAAAGCGTCTGTTCTCTCGGTGGATCAGTGCCATGGAGCCGAAGTCTGATTTGCTCTATATCGGAGGCCAAACCACATCTGGATCTTATGGTCCAGTCTGCCGAGTCTGGCAAGAAACAGATGGAAAAATACTGGAGATAATGATTCTGACACACTGCTGCCTTCTCTCTACATTTGTGTGTGTGTGTGTGTGTGAGAAAGAGGATAAGTGTTTAACAGTCCAAATCCAACTCTGAACTGTTTAAACTATGGGACGTATTTATTTATTCTTTTGTTTAGACACATGTGTCCTCATCTTAACTCACACAGGCAGTGTAGTGAAAGCATCGTGTCAATTCAGCGTCACAAAGGATTCATCTGGCCACAGAGCGACGGGTGGTACCTGGGTAAAGCCTGCTGTACGAAGGACCTAACGTATAAATATCGCTGCAGCAATCGCATGTTTTTGTTTATCGCACATTGACACAGACCATTATCGCCAAAAGCTCTCAATCAATACCGTTGTTTTTCCAGGTCGCTCGCTGTAAATTCTGCAGACGTATTCTCTCATGAACTCACCTGAACATTCTCTGCATGTTTTACTAGAAAAACTCTGAAAAATGTCCGGAGCAACTGTTAAAAGTGATTGCGACTTGGAAAGGTTGCTTTTTTGTATTTGGAGGTGGATTTACAGGACTCAATGCAGACTGGATCACGTTAAACTGTTCTGAAACACAGTGCTGCTCTTGTCATGAGGGGATTCAAGCCTGTTGATCCGCAAAGTATTTTGACTCCCAGCCTACAGCCGAGGAAGCAGTGATCCAGGCTGTCGGGTTACAGTTTGTGTTAACCTGGTCCAAGCCTTGCGATTAATGAGAGGCTGAACTGTGCTAAGGTCATGACAGCAGATATCAGTCAACTCTAAGCTAAAAGAAAGGTTTATTTTCAGTTTCTTTTAGCATACATGCATGTATTTTTGGACAGTAATTAAACGTTTATTTTGAGCCGTCATAAAGATTGTATCTCACATCAGATTTAAAGATCACAATGTGAAAAATTATCAATTGAACTCATAAATGGTTGAAAAGTCCACGGCCTGGTTCTGTGAAACACAGTTTTTACATCTGAAACTTTGTTCTGCTGTTGTTAATGGTTGATTCCCCCGTTGGGGAAGTAACCTGGCTTTATCACCATTAACAGGGATTGAGGATATCCTCCGTGTTATTATGTGAGCAGACCCATTCTGCATTTGGAGGCTTGAGTCCTCCTGCAGCGGCCACAAGTTCGTTTTTTTGACTCTGTCTTCCCCATTTAACACTTGAACTGTCCTCAATAAATACAAAAGGCCTAATAAATATTTATAACAGGGATTGAGGATTTAATCTTTCTTTACCAGAGCTGGAGTACTGCCACTAAAATGGCTTTCGTTGGATGATTTATACACAGAAGCAGGTTGTTGAAAATCGACTTACAGTAATACAAACTCTTGTGTTTCATTGATCGTCATTGCAGATGTTGAGGTAACAGAGATTTAGTTTGAATGGTTAAGGCAGTTTGACACTTGAGATTCATTCAATTATATATTAGGAATCTTCTGGGGACCATGAACGTTCAAAGTGATTATTATCATTGGTCAGAAGACTTGCTCTTGTTGGTGCCCAAGAAATATAAATCATGACCGTCAGTTTTTATTAAAAAGTGATCTGTAATGATTTATCCAAATTCAAATCTCGTGTAAATCAATTGCATCAGTCTGAAACTAGCAAAGACGCATCACGCTTTGTTCTGTGTGTAGCAGTACTTTGTTTAACGTGATCATTTCTTCCATTGCATGCAACTAACAAATGTTCCGTCTTTGTGATAATGAGCTGAACACCACCAAACATCAGTCCACAGGCATCACTAGAATCAGTGCACTGATAAGGTTTCTGCGTTTGCCGCTGGTATAGTTTAACTGGCTTATGATCATTCTGCATCATTCAGAAACAGTTGGACCATATAGGTTTAATATAGCAACATGAAACCAGGCATCAGTTCCATATCTGTCCTCTTGGTAGTGCTCCATTATATGGGAGGGTGCTGCCATGTTTCCATCAGCTCTGTGTGGAATAACAGTTGTCTGGAACATTCACCCGACTACCGTCTCGCCCTGGGCCCCCATGGAAAACTCTGGAAAGGTTTTGACAATGTCCCAGCTTCACTCAGAGTGAATCACACCAAAACATTTTATTTCTTTGCTATTACCAAAGTACAGTTTACTGTTGAATATACAGAAACACTATAAACTATACTTTTACAGTTCTTGAGTAGGTAGTTCAGATTTTATTATTTATTTAAATCTCCATTAAGTTGAACTTGACAATTTTCTATCTTTTTCAACTTTATTTGGCAATTGAAAGTGAAGGGAGAGAGAACCGGGTTGCTCGACATGCAACCCAGGTCTCTGCAGGCTCCAAGTGAGCAGTGGATGTTGCAGTTAGTCTGTGTGGCAGTGTGCTGTATTCATTCAGCTTCCTGGGGAACTTAAAAAACAATTTAAACGTCTACTATATCATTTCAGAGCCGAGGAGCGCAACGATCTCTTGTTACTCTTCAGGGCTGTCAGGGCTTTCTCAGACAGACGTGATGACCGCCGCAGAACCTTCCAGCATTTCCAGGTAAGGGATTTGACTAAGTTGATCATTTTCCCTTAAGTGCTGTTTGCCAAGCGCAGGATGGCAATACATGGCAGTATCTTTGCCCAATGGCATTTCCAAAGCACTTCTTTTACTGTTGTTAACCAAAAAATCATGAGTCATCCTGAATTCCTTCACGGGGGAGACCAGATGGTCCATCAGTGACTGAGAGTATAGTGAGGGGGCAGCTGCAGGTTGGAATTCATCATTAACCTTTGCTTGAATCTCCCTGAGTTTCACCCTCATCCATCAGCGGAGGAGCCTTGTTGTCTTGTCCAGCTCTAGGTCAGAGGGTCAAACTTGAAGGTCTGGGTTTCTCTTTATGGTCCACAATGAACTGGCATCAGGTTTTACATTTTTAAATAGCCGTGAAACTCTGACTGGCCCTAGTTTCCTGAGATGACCCCTTTACCACCCAGAGTTTCACCCGAACACTATTGTAGAACTTTAAACTGCTGCATGCATTGAAAATACAATATATCTATCAAAATGTATGTAGAAAACACAAGTTCAATCAGAATATACAAATGGAGCCTAAAGACATCATGTCTTTGTACCTTTTAAAGCTGTCTCCTCCAAGTAACAATAATAAGATTCATTTCATGAAACTCAGTGTGGGTTTCCACACGGTTCTGGTTTTCTGGTAAGTTCTGGTATTGATCAATAGTTTGGAAATATTTAAATTTCAATAAGTAGGTAAATAAGTAGAGAAATACAGAAGCTTTACTGTTGGCTGGGTGATGGATGAGCGTTTGTATGCATCAATATAATATATACTTTTAGTAGGTACTCAAGACAGTATAGCTTATTTAGATCGACTAGATGTATTGACAGATACTGCGATAAATTCATTTTATTAGATAGACGTGATTGATATGAGACTTTAAATGAATAGATACTAGATACGTAGATGTCACCTATGTTGTATATCAAGTCTGTCTGTGTGCATGTGTGCATGAACACTGATCTTACCAGTAAACCTCAATGTGACCAAAGCCAAGTGTTAATGAGGCGATGCTTCATCTCTGAGGTCTTGGTTAAGGTTTTGATTAGGCTGTCCACAATGAATGGAAGGAAATGCAATGTCCTAACAAGGACAGCTGTGCAAACACAACTAACTGTGTATTTAGACTGATGAGTAGAAAAATGCTGATCCATGCAGCGGTTATGAATCAGTGTGGATGTAGTAAATATCAGCGTGAGACTGTAATGAAGAGGAAGCACTAAAATGTCATCGTAAATCAAGCTGCAGAGGCAATATGGAATCTATTCTCGTGTTTACTCTGAGAATGTAAAGTTCTGCCAAGTTGGCTGGACTCAAGGAGGATTAACCCACATTTTCCATACAGGCCCGTGTGCTTGAAACTCCCATTTTGCTTTACTTGCATTTTCTTGGGTGTTATTAAGGAAAAATATCATTCCCTTTGTAACTTTGAGCTGTAATGCAGGCTGTGCCTTTTATGCTGATTTCCAGGCTTAATGAAATGAAAATGTTCTTGGAGGAATAAACAAATAAAAATACAAAGCATTCACAAACACAGTCCAGGCCCGGAATCTTTTTGCTGGTGGTAGACCACAACTTTAACCAGCCAGTCACTGCGGAACTACAGATCTGCAGATGATGGTTGGCTCCGTACCCGTTATAGACAACAGGCCTTTTAGAGTTTGTGGCCAATAACCGATTAGCAATTCTCCATTGAAGTGTTGTCTGTAAATGTCTCTTGACACAAACATGCAGACTCTGCAGTTAGCCATGGACAATGGTGTAATACATTTATTGTTGTGCTTGTGTTGTGGCATCAAGTTGGCAATATCGGTATCAGCAAATTGGAGCTCCAATGAAACCTATAGAGACATTTCTGTGTTGACATGTCTTATAATTTACAGCTAAACTTGACTTAGTCTGAACCTTTTACAATTATCCACAACGGTTCTGCCGTAACGAACCAAAGCCCTCTGTTAAGTTGTTTTCTTTTCAGTGGGAGTCTGTGTGAAGTTTGCTCTCTGGGTAATTCTGCTTCCTCCCAGGGTCCAAACCATAGACTGTATATAAGGTCCAAACACATGCAGGTTAGTTTAACTGAGCTGTTTCAGACATGAACATCAGAAAATGGCCCAAACCTTGGGTGTAGACATTTTCCATAGCTTGCCTTTCACATATGAAGAACGCACCAGAAGACTGTCTGTAACATTCAGACGAGGGGGGGGGCCCTGGGTAGAGTGTGCAGGCATATAAATTCTGCTGCAGTGTTACCTGTTTGTGTTTATACCACATTGACTCTGGCATCGAACCGTATCGCCAAAAGCTCTGGAATCTTGGCGTCTCTTCAAGTTGTCAATGTCCTCTACGTGCATTGCTCCTCTTGTCCTCCTTCAGTTTTGGGTCCATTGCATGTCATCAACACGCCCACTTGCTCACTGTGAATTTTCCGCACATTATTCTGCTTTATTCTCACATGGGCTCACTCAGACACTTTCCAGACATTTTACCTGGGGGCTGGCTGGAAAAGTTCAGGAAAATGTCCAGACTTCACACGTGTCTGAAAGCAGCTTTGGAGAATGAGCATGATGTTTGTTTGTCTCTATATATCTGCACCTGGAATACACTGGCGACCTGTCTAGGATTCACCCCACTGCTCACACATGTCAGCTGGCTCTTTGATTGGCTCTGGCCCTCCGCAGCTCTCTATGGACAACAGTTATAGATAATGGATGGATTTGTCTTTGGTTATTCTTTTTCTTCCTGTGCCTACATTTTTGCTAAAATATTAAAAACACGTATCCTTGAGTGTTAAACAGACTCCAACAAATTTTAATTAAAAAAAAAAAAAAATTTAAAACTTTATTAAAATATCTTAAAAACAAAGCCATGTCACATACACGCCTTCCTAATTATCACTTTCTTATTCACATCAGTGATAACTTCTTGTTATTACTGGAAGGGAAGAGTAAGGGACACAAGCCAGACATTTTCAAAAAAGACAAAAAAAAGAAAGGAGTAATTTTCACATTACTATAGATCATAGCTACATTGCTCCCCAGGTCACTTCAACTGGAGTCTATAAATTAAAATGAACAAAGTAAAGTTAAGTCACAAAATACTTGAAAAAGCCTGCAGCTGGACCGATTTACTTGGCCATCGCCTCTATGGAGAAACATTAGTAATGGAATAATTAATAGTCAAATTAATTCACACAATGGGTGAAGCCCAGAGCGTTGAAATATATGTTGAATTCATTCTGACAACACTTTATAAGAAAAGTATTTACAGATGATTTCTGTTGGCAGTTCAAGGTGTCCTCAGCATTTGTCTGTTTGTTAGTAACCAGGATTATGCAAAAACTATTTCTATTAATTATTGTGGAGAGTTGGGGCATCACCCAATGAAGAACACATACATTAGTACCTGGATAAATGGTGGATCCAGGAATTATTTTCACCTTCTTTTGGAGGTATGCACTAGTTCAATGTAAAACATTGACATGAGAGATTTTACACTGTACAAAATACTTGTTAAAAGCAGCAGAGATATTTAGAAAGTTGCAATAATATCTGGAATTTTGTTGACCTGCGGCTGCAGGTGTGAGTGGGTTCAGTGTAACAAGCAGTTTGTGTTGTTTCCTTCATCCAGGGAGAACAGCGTCAGGTCAAAATTAAACAAAAGGTGGGACTGTCGCTGTGGAGGCAATGGTGCTTTGCCCCTCATTCACATCAGGGTTACATTATTACTTCTGGTGATACGCCACTTGTGCAGAAGAAGCTCAGAAGACAACTCACCTGTGTTGTTTTCTGAGCACGAATATTTTAGATTATCCGTCTCTTATGTGTGAATACCTCTGTATGCTTCAGACTAAGTTTATTTTTCAAGTCAGAGTCCCCTTTTTTTCCATTGGCCAAATCAAAGTCTTTGTTCAAAAAAAGATACGCTGACAGAGGTGTAAAAGTATGCAGCTTTTCAACTTCTTTTTCAAGCTTTTCAATCACTTTGAAGGAGAGACTGTCTGAAAGTGGGCTATCATGCCCATTTGTATGATTTAATGTATAAAAACTGCAATGTGATGCAAAAAAGCTAAGAGAGACCATGGGCGACAGGCTTCTCACCTCCTTTTAAGTAAGGACATTAATAATTAGCTGAAGCACCGATTTAACACAAGGTCAGACAAACTAGTTTGGAGCATATTGAAGTCTTCACACACCTTCTCAGGTGGTTTTGCACCAATTTACGTGACTATTACTCTGAACACCTCTCGTGTAGCTCCTCATAGACTGATCAGAGCCACCATAGGAGAGTTTGTTTAATTCTTCTCCTTCAGTCCGGTGAATGGTTTCATTTCGACCTGACAATGTCACAAGCTGTTTGTAGGTTTGTTGAAGTAAATCATTGACACAATAGGACCAGTGCCCCCAACATCCAGAACGTCACAGTTTCCCCACCCCTAAGCACTGTGGGAAAACTGCTTCGTCAAAGGGGCTACAGTAAAACATCTGCCTCCTCAGCGGTACCGTCCAACAGGCAGTACCTTCATACAGGTGAAGCTATCAGGGTACTTGGACAACATCACAGGGTTGCCATCCATACGGACCTCACTGAGGCTTAGTCGCAGGTAGTAGGTGTCATTAGACTTGCAGAAGGTGTCTTTGTTCACCAGGGTGATGTTGTTGTTCTGGTGGAAAAGAAAACAACATATGAATGTAAATCAAATCTTAGCCTTTAGAGTCACCTTCTGCACGACCAGGTTTTTGATAAAATTCTAGCAAACATGTATACATGTAATTAATCTAATTAAATGTTCGAGCAGCAGTAAAAGATACAAACCTGTAGATGTAAGATCCGAACAGTCTCTGGGATTATTGGAACAGCCTCCAGTTGGTTGTCGGCTAGAAACAGGTTAACCAGCTTGGTCATTTTCTATTGGGGAAACAAATTCACATTATGGAATCAGTTACCATCATTGTTAAATATGAACACATACTGTTTATAATCCACAGGCTGTTGAAACCAGATATACATTGAAAATTGGGTATATAGATCTACAACATTTTCAAATATGTTATTTGCTTTCTTTCTGAGAGCGAGAGGAAAAGACTGATATTAATCTCATGTCTCTACATCAGGTCTGGAACTGGATTCTGGATGTAGTTAGTTTTGTTTATTCTCAGGAGTCACTCAGTAACAATGTGGATCTTATTTGTTTAATCCATAGACAAACCAAGGAACAAAAGAGTTTGTGGTTTTAGGGGTTAGGTTAAGAGCTAGAAATATTTCTACCACAGCTGTGTGTTGTGAACTGTGTTTTTTGGCATAGACGTGGCGATGTGTGGGTTGACCCCCAGATGTGGTGGCCGTTCAGGTTAGCTTTCTTGAAAATGTTATGAATTGTGGCCAGGATGGGTCAAAAAGTGATAAATCAGGATGCCGACTCATTTACTTATCCTCCCTTTCTTTACACATGTACCTGGTCCTCTTATGTCTTGGCTGCGTCACGGATATATAAAGTTGATAAACTACGTGTATCATAAACAATGAATTATTTTGGCCTTTCCTTGCTTATTTATTATCAATTAATACTTGTACTTTTAACCAATGCATGTTTTTGGTCAGAAAGAAGAGTCTACACCAAAAGTGGGTGCAGGGATTTACTAATGTAGAGTCAAGTCAATAGTTTAAACATTTATTTCCCAGGAAAACCTCAAAGAGATCACTTGCTAATCTCAGAGATTGATTTAGTGTACGTCTGGTCCTTTTTGAAAAAAAATGCTTTGATTTGCCCTCATCCTTTCTTTTCTAGTTTCTCTTGAAAAGGTTAGGAGAAGTAACAGTGTGTACCTTGAAAGCGTTGGCTTTGACACCCTTGGTTTTGAGGAGGTTGTTGTTGGCATTGAAGACGGTGAGTTTGGCAGGAAGCATTGGAAGTTTGACCAGTCTGTTCTCAGCCAGAGACAGTTCCTCCAGTGCGGCGAGTTTAGAGAACGCCCCATCTTCAATCTCTGAGATCTGGTTCCCCGTCAAGTCAATCCTCTTCAGAGTCACTGTTGGCAGATGAAAGAAAAGCAGCTAATAAAGGTGTAGATGTTTTGGATTTCTCACTTTCTTTATGCATCATCAAATGTTAGTATCCCTGTAGCTGTGTTTTGCATTGAATATTCACTATTCAACATAGTTTTTAACTTTTTTGGCCTGTGTGGATATTCACACAATTTGTTCCTCCAGTATTATTGTCCCTCTGCAGACGACTGCAGCCCAGCATGAATACTTGTTGCCAACCAAAATACAAACCAGATAATCAGCTAAACCGTCAGACCTAGATTCTGTAGCTTTGGGCATCCTGAAAAATATTGTTGTAGAAGTGAGATTTGAGAATAATTTTTTGTTTGCAGTCACCAGTGTCATATTAATATGTCACATATTAAAAGCACAACCACAGCTGAGCAGTCAACATGTCGTGATGGAGTTGGTCTTCTAGACTCACCAATTTCAGAAAAGTCCTTGGTGTTGATCTTTTTGATCTTGTTGAAGCGGGCGTACAGGTAGGCCGTCTCTTTAGGCAGCTTCGGGACAGCAGTCATGTCCGGACTGACCTCTTCACAGTACACAGAGCCAGTGAGACACACACACAGCAGGCAGGTGGGCAGGTCTGCAACACAGGGTCAACACACAGATATCAGGCCTTAGGTAATCTGACTGATGCAGGCAGGATGGGAATCTTTGACAGATTTTACTGCGGTTACAGGTCTTTTTCTTACCTAAACTGTCTGCTTCCTCCGGGATCGGGCTGTCATCGGGTTCATCAGCAGGAGGCAGTGCCCTCTGCAGGAGAACACATGGCCTGTTCATTTACTCATCAGCAAAACACTTGACACTGTCTGGGTTAGGAGGCCAGCCGGGAAAAAGTAGGAGTTACTCCTGGCCACAGCCCTAGCAGCTCTCCTGCCTTGACAAGCGTAGGAGGACAGGCATTGACCCTACTTGGCTGTCAGAAAGGAAATACTCCTCCTCCCATTGACAGTGATTCCCCCTCCACCATCACCACTACACCACCTGCCCCCGCAAAGCTGTCAACCTAAAAAAAACACTGACTATGACAGGTTAAATGTAAGTTAGCCATTCTTCAGCCAGTACAGTTAATGTCACGGTACAATTGGATGAAATGCATGACTGTTGACTTTCTCTTGTAGACCTGAACCCTGGTTTACACTTAAGGTGTGTGTGTGTGTGTGTGTGTGTGTGTGTGTGTGTGTG